TTAGATGCTCTAAGCACTCATCAAATGAAGATCCAAACACAGAGAAGTCATCCATGAATACCTCGATGAATTTCTCAACCATGTCTGAGAAAATAGCCATCATGCAGCGCTGAAAGGTAGCGGGAGCGTTGCATAACCCAAATGGCATCCTTCTGTATGCAAAGGTGTCATAGGGGCCAGTGAAAGTGGTCTTCTCCTGATCGTCTGGTGCCACTGGAATCTGATTATACCCGGAGTACCCATCTAGGAAACAGTAGTGCGAATGCCCTGCTAATCTCTCCAACATCTGATCAATGAACGGTAATGGAAAGTGATCCTTTCGAGTAGCTGAGTTAAGCTTACGGTAGTCAATGCACACTCTCCATCCAGTCACCGTCCGTGTAGGAATCAACTCATTTCTCTCATTTTCTATCACCGTGATTCCTCCTTTCTTGTGAACAACTTGCACTGCACTGATCCATGCACTATTTGATATTGGATAAATAATGCCTGCATCGAGCAACTTCAATACCTCAGCTCTAACCACTTCCTTCATGTGTTCGCTGCCCATCAATGCTTGGTTTAAATTTTTCCTCCATGAGTATCTTATGCATGCATATAGATGGGCTGATCCCCTTTATATCTGCAATCGACCACCCAATAGCTGTTTTATTCTCCCTTAACACCCGAAGTAGTTTCTCTTCCTCTACCTCACTGACAGTGCTTGAAATAATAACAGGTAGTGTAGAAGATTCCCCCAGGTACACATATCGAAGATGTGGTGGCAATTGTTTGAGTTCCAATTTGAGTGGTTTCACAATAGATGGCACTGATTTTGCAGTTCTAGTTCCTAGCTCTTCATAGTAGCGTCTGCGCATATATGGCTGGTTACTCTCCAAAAACCGAGCACATGTCTCGATCTCACTTGATTCAGAATGGGTGGATTGTGAATGTGCAATGCATGCCTCATATGCATCGGAAGGATGATGTAGCCAAAATGTGTCTTGAACTATTCGGTCGACTACATCGATCTGGAAACAACTGTCTGCCTCAGTAGGGAATTTCATTGCTTTGAACACGTTGAATGAAATTTGCTCATCACCAAGCCTTAATATCAACTGCCCCTTCTGAACATCTACAATTGCTCTCCCAGTGGCTAAGAAAGGTCGCCCTAAAATGAGTGGAACATCTTTATCTTCTTCCATGTCCAAGATAAGAAAAGCAGCTGAAAATATGAACTTCTCCACTTTTACCAGCATGTCTTAAATGATTCCTCTTGGATGTGTAAGGGATCGATCTACTCACTGTAATGTCACTATTGTGGCTTTTGCTTTTCCCAAGCCGAGTTTCCTGAAAATAGAAAGAGGTATTAGATTAATACTTGCACCCAAATCACACAAAGCTTTATCAAAATAACAGTCTCCAATAGTGCAGGGTACAGTAAAACTCCCTGGATCTTTCAGTTTTGGGGGTAGCTTTCTCTGGATTCTGGCGCTGCATTCCTCAGTCAACATTACTATTTCGTATTCTTCTATCTTTCGCTTGTTAGAGAGGATATCCTTTAAGAATTTTG